TTTACTCCTACTATTATATGAAGTTGACTTAATATTATGAGCTATATTATTACTATTATTATTAAGACTAATTATTCTATTTTTATATTTCTTGTTGCTAAATAAGATAAAAGTATCTTCTAATAGAGTATTGTCTGTATTCATATATTCTAGTAGTTTAAAAAGCTAAGAACTTATTTGTTGTAATAATTCTTTTTTTAGAGATGACTCTATATTTGATTTTAAATATTTAGCTATTTCTGCTAATATGTTAATAAGATTTTTAGAGTTGTTTTCTAACAGAGCTTCTTGTAAAGCTATTTTTATTGACTGATCAGAGTATATTTTATCCAAAGTATCTATTTGATACTAAGAGATTATTGATTATATACTTTGCATATAAAGTTTTACTGTGTAGTTTGTTAAGAGTTTATTATCTATTCTAGTAGTAATAAAACTAGATTATAAATTATCTATAATCTTTGCTTTATATATTTTGTAAGTATTTTATTTTTTTTTTTTATAACTTAAGTGATCTTGCATATTACTTTATTAAAAAAGCTAATAAAAAGCATAAGACTAATTTAAAATAAATAGTATATAAATTAAATCTTCCTAAATTCAATTCTGACTAACTCAGCTGCCTCAAGAGTATTCAAGTTCAATTTGTTACAAAAGCTTATTTTTTCCTAAAAACCTTAATCTGTATAAATAGATTTCTCAGAATTTGATCGATAATAGTGACTTCTAGCCTATAATCAAGATTCTAGATCTCTTCCAACTTAATTTATACTAAGCTAAAAGTAGTTAACATCTAGTCTCAAGATATAAAAAGTTTAAAAATTATTATATATAATAGAATATAACTACATATTATATGAATGTAATTTATAAGAAAAAAATTTACTATCAAATTAAAAACTCTTATAAATGAGAGAGAGATAAAAAAGAAAGGAAAAAAAGGAGTCTCTCTTCTTAACATAAAGAAAAAAAGAGAATCAAAAAGTAAAAATATTATGCTATGTAAAACAAGAATACATATCTTTAGTATTCAAAATAACTTGTCTAAATATTAAATTCTAATTAGATCATCTATGTAATAGTGATATATATATTTGTTGTCTTGTCTAAGTTGCATATCAATAAATGACTTGCTAAATTAGAAAATAATACAAACTTGCTAATCTTTTGTCAGGGGTTTACTAAATCCTCTACTTTTTATTTTTTAATAGAAAGAAATCCCAAAGACCTGAGAAGAAGAAAAAACAAAACCAAAAGGAACTTTAAAGAGAGGAATATACTAAATCTAGTTTTAGTATTATAGTTAAAGCTTCATACTTTACTACTACAACTTCTTACTTCTTATTTTGTTTTAAACTATAGATGATACTTCATACATATATACAAGTTTCTATATACATGCTTCACCAAGAGAGAGCCTCTTATAACTGAACTTGTACCATTTATGACTAAACTTCTATACTCATATCTGTTAAAATATATAGTCTACTAGATAAGTATTAAAGGTATTACTAGACTTCTAAGGTAAAAACAAAATTTTTTTTTTGCTTTGATATTAGTATTGATAATTGACAGAACGAGTTATAAATATTTGGTATATTTTGTAAGTATTTTAAATTTTTATACTTCTTTAAATTGTTAATATTTTTTTTTAATATGCTTTTCTGTATTATAGAAAAAGTATAATTTGAGAGATACCTTCTATTGTATAGTTACTTTTTAGTCTATAATTGCTTTTAATTTTGGTATATAAGTTGTAATTTCAAGATCTTTAGTAGTGACAAATATTACTATT